CATACAGCAGTTCACATACACTTTGTCTCATGACATTGACTACAATTTAACTCAATGCAACAGCTCCCCTCCCACTTCCTCCTGATAGTTACCTCTTCCCTGTGTCCATCCCTCCCTGCACTCCTGCCCCCTATGCTGTGTCCCTGTGCATAAACAGCCCTTCTTTCTCCCATGATTGTTCTGTCCAAGGAGTCTATCTACCTCAGGTAAATGTTCAACTCATAGGCCTGTCTTTTGTTTGTCTAGAAGCCACAGGTGTAGTTTCCATTCCAGACCTGAAGGGCAGCTAGGAGCCATAGTCTTAGTGGTTCCACCAGCTTCTATCAGACCAGCAAACCTGGTCCCCCTTTTTTCCCCCCCAAATGATTTTGAGTTTTGTTCCACATTGTTCTCCCTCTCTGTCCAAGATCTGCTACACAGATCCCCCCCCCTTGAGTGTTTGACATTGGTAGCCAGGCACCACCTAGTTCTTCTGGTTTCATAGTCATATAGGCTGCAGATCGCATGGTGTATCAGTCACGAGGACTAATTGTTTCAGTGAATCTTTGGTTTTCTTCATTCTTCTTTGCTCAGGACGAGGAGAGACCCATCGTTGCATCTGGATGGCTGCTTGCAAGCTTTCAAGATCCTACTTGCCATAGTAGGAGGTGGAGCATTGTTTTGTGCAGTATGTTATGCAGTTGAGCTTGATGTCCCCTGTGACTATGGTGCCGAGCCCACATGTTCAACTACTCGCTCTGTCTTGGTAGCTGGCTGTGACCAAGAAGTGACTACAACCTTGTCCCTTGTCAGCTCTACTATACACCTGGAAATTGTTACAGAACATACAAATACACTAGTAGAACCATTGTCTGCCAACCCTATATATGGTCTTGGGTATACTCCCTGCTTCACAGACATTCCTAATAGTTCAGCCTGTCCACTCATCTATCTACCCATATACCCATGTTTGCCTTCACTGGCAACACAGTACTACTATATGTGCAAAAGGGTCGTCTTTGTTGCCTATACCTCCCATGTTCTTCTTTATGCCTTCCTCTTCCTCAATACCGCCATGTTTATCACTCACATTTAGTACATTTCCCTTCTCTTCACCAAAACCAATATTTAGCTCTACCTGTCTAACAGTGTTCCCTCCCCTCCCCTCCCCCCCCGGTAACCAACAAAGAAAATTTCCTTCCATAGATAAACCTTTCCTTGACTTTTACAATAAGGGACTAATACAATATTTGTCCTTCTGTGATTGACTTATTTCACTCAGCTTAATGTCCTCCAAGTTAATCCATGTTATGCGGTGTTTTTGCAGATTCTACGTTATTCTTTAGGGTTGCATAGTATTCCACTGTGTGTATGTACCAAAGTTTGGTTATCTATTCCTCAGTTGATGGACACCTTCCATCTTTTGGCTATTGTAATAATGCTGGGATGAACATGGATGTGCATATGTCTGTTCTTGTCATGGCTCTCACTTCTTTAGGATATATACCTAGTATTAGAATGGCTGGGTTACACAATACTTCTAATTCCAACTTTTTAAGGAATTGTCATATTGTTTTCCACAGTGGTTGTACCATTTTACAGTCCCAGCAGTGTATGAGAGTCCCACTCTGTCCACATCCTTGCCTGGATTTGTTATTTTGTGTCTTGTTGAACTTTGCTACTAGTTGCTGGAGCAAGATGATATCTCATTGTTGTTTTGATTTGCAGCTCTGGTAGCATAGTGCCTAAGGCACTTGACTGCTAACCAGAAGGCTGGCGGTTCAAATCCACCAGCCACTCCTCGGAAGGAAGGTTGGGCAATCTACTTCCGTAATGATACTGCCTTGGCAACCCAAGGAGGTGTCGCTATGAGTCAGGTCCAACTCGACGGCACATAACAACAACAACAACAAATAACTAATGATCATGAGCATTTCTTCATATGTTTGTTGGCTGCCTGAGTATCCTCCTTGGTGAAGTGTCTATTCGTGTCTTCTCCCCATATTTAAGTTGGATTATTTGTCTTTTTGTTACTGAGGTGTTGGAGTTTTCCATAAATTCTAGAGATAAGTCCCTGTCAGATATGTCATTGCCGAAAATTCTTTCCCAATCTGTAGGTTCTCTTTTGACTCTTTTGGAGAAGTATTTGGAAGCACATAAGAATTTAATTTTGAGAAGGTCCCATCCATTTAGTTTCTCTTCTGCTGTTTGTGCATTTTGGGTTATGCTTGATAGTCTATTTATGCCATATATTAGGGCCCCTAAATTTGCTCCTAGTTTTTCCTTGAAAAACTTCATAGTTGTAGGTTTCACATTTAAGTCTTTGATCCATCTGTAGTTAGTTTTTGTGTATTGTGTGAGGTACAGATCTTGTTTCATTTTTCTGCAAGTGGATATCCAGTTTTGCCGGCACCATTTATTAAACATTCTCTTCCCCATTTAATGGATTTCAGCCCTTTGTCAAAGACCAGCTGACCATAGGTCGATGGATCTATTTCTGGGTTTTCAGTTGTATTCCATTGGTTTATGTGTCTGTCGTTGTACCAGTACCGGGCAGGTTTGACTACTGTGGCTTTGAAAATTTAATTTATTCTTGAACTTCATTGGTCCCTTTTTATTTACATGAAAATCTATGCTGAAGATTATTATATTGATAATAGATATATACTTTAGTCATCATAGCCTGGCAAGTGTGAGAATTAGTAAATAAGTGGAACTAAGGGACAAAGCTGGTAAAATGTGAATGTGACTAATGTACATTTGACCAGTGGGTGGAATTTTTATGTACTTAAGAATTTTAAAAGATGATTTATATGTCCTTCACTTTTAGATCTCTTTGGTTGAGTTAATTCTAGGTCTCAAAACAATAGAATTTTTCTTAGAGTTCCGTATCCCCATGGTCTTGAGCAATTGTTTTGCTATTGCATGTTTATCTGTTTTTGGAACTATAGTACCTTTTTACTCCTAGAGAGTTTTCATCTTTGTTCCTTAGTGGAATTGCCATTCTTGGTACCTTAATTTTTATCATTTTTTCTTGGAGGAAAACAACATAAATATTCACCGTGATTTTTTTTAATTTCGTATTTCAGAATGAAGGGAAACTATCTACCTCACATTTTAAGAGAGGATTTTTCTTTTATAGCCTGCATCTGAACTATGTCCCTGGTTAACAACAATGCCACTCACTCAGTTCCTGGCCTCTAGAGAATATAACTTTTTTTTTTTTTTTTTTTGAGAATAGCCACTTTTACAATATTTAGTTACCAAAAGAGTTCATTACCTTTGCTAGGCTAGAATGGCTAGATAGTGGGGAAACCAGAAATGCCTTTGAAAGGAAGAAAAAAAGAAAAAGTCAGCACTTTGTAGTATTTCAGGTTTCTCAAGTGGCAGGTTTCAGGAAAGAATCTTTTTCCCTATTAGTCAAAGGAGAGAAATCTCTGAATATTTAGCTTCTTTTTTTTTTTAAATTTATTATAAGGATTGTTAATTCTTATTTGAATAAAGCCACAACTTTCTGGCAGAAATTGGTAATGATAAAAGGGTAGAGGAATCCATCAGTTTGGGCCTAAAATGCAGGAGAATTTGCCTTCTTGGGAGCTAATTATGGTGGGGTTTTCATTTTATTATGATTACCTTTTTAAGAACCTAACAGTTTTCTGCACTAAAAATAGACCAAAGCCCAGAATCCTTGGAGCAGCAGAAGAGTAATGATCGTCCTAGACTGTCGCTGGGTTTCTTAAATTCTAATTTGTAAGATATAGGGGCTTGGCTCGCTCCTTTTGCGGAGTGATTGTAAGTAACGCTTGCCTTAAGAATCTCATTATTGGAACACGGAGCCATATTTCCTCTGAGAATTCTGGAGTAGCTTTGAGCCGGGGCTGTTCATTTCTCAAGTAATCACGCTGGTGTGATGGAGAGAGAAAATGGCAGCTGTTCGGAGCTCAGGCCTTCAATTTTCTTCAGAGTCCAGTCACTCAAGTGTGTAATTACACGGGGGTGCTGCAGAGGCGTTGGGCCCTGTCAGAGAGCTGGTTTGAGGCTTTGCTTTCTGCTCTTGCCAGGCAGGACAGGCAGAAGCCAATGGGACTCGGACTTGCTGCTGTTCTTTTTTCCCCCCACTTTGTCATCCTGATTACTTCACCTGCATGGATGGGACCCAAACTTTCTTTCCAACAAGCTGAGCTCTTTGGAGAAAAGAGCTCCTCCTTAATGTTTGTGTTTGGATGAACAGGACTGGGAAGAGGAAGATGAACGATGTGAACCATGAAGACAGATTTGCCCTTTTGTTTTTCTTTTAAAAACAGGACAGAACTCAGTAAACATAAGTAGAATCTGTAGGCTTTCACACTATTTTGAAATATTAGTTATTTTCACTGTCATCTTAGAGATTTAGAAATCACAAAGTTAACTGACAAGCTTGAGCACAGGA